GAGTCGCAAATGACTGAGCCACCCAAGTGTCCCTAGAAAAGGAAGAAGGATTTTAAATAAAAAACTTAAATTTCTACCACAAAGAAACAAACACACAAACAAGCAGAAAAACCCAGAGGGCTCAGAAGGAAGGAAATAACAGATTAGAGCAGAAATAAAAAATAGAAAAACAAATTAGAGAATAAAAATTAAAGACCAAAAAAACTGAAAAAACTCTTACCTAGAATTACTAAAATAAAGAAATAATATTCAAATAAGTAAATTAGAAATGAAGGCGGGCACACTGTTATCAATTTGTCAGAAATAACAAGCTTTATAAGATGAAAAACTGAGAGCCAACATTCAGGTAAGCTAATAAAATGAACAAATTTTTAAGGACACCTCATCTACCAACATTAAATAAAAAATAACTAGAAAATATGACTGGACCTATAACTCATAAAGAGATTAAAGCAGTAGTCAAAATCCTTAAAACAAAGAAAATTCCTGGACCAGATAGCTTCACTGGTGTCATTTACTAAAGATTTACAGAATTTCACCAAATATTTAAATCAATCTTTCTCAAACTCTTCGGACAAATGTAACAGGAGGGCACACTTCCACATCCATTCTATGAAGCCAGAATTACCCTCATATAAGAACCAAGGATACTATAATAAAGGAAAACTAAAAATAAATATTGATTGTAAATATTAATGCAATGTCCTCAACAAAACATGAGTAAACAGAATTCAACAGCATATTAAAAATTTGCATATCATGACCACGTAGGTTTAATTTATGGAAAGTGGGAATGATTCAACATGCAAAAATCAATATAATACACTCCGTTAAAGGAATAGAGGAGGAAAAAAACCACACCATATCAAATGAAGCAGAAAAATCATATGACAAAATCGAACACCTTTTAATGATAAAAAAAAATCTAACGAATTAGGAATAGAAGGAAACTATCTCAATATGATAAGGACTATCTATGAAAAAAAAATGCACCTCTAATTCCCAGGGAAGATGGCAGAAGAAGACTAGGCTCCCCTCATCCCATGGATAACTATGGGATGACTAGACCACAAACTAGACAACATCCATATCAGTGTAAATAATCCCCCCAAAATAACCCATAGACTGGCAGAACAGAGTCTCCACAGCTAAATGTAGAAAAGAGACCACCTCAGACAGGGCATGAAGGGATGGTCCAGAGCTCAACAGAATTGCAGGATTGTCCACAAGAGGGAGAGATACCTCAAGTGTGGAGAAAAGAGAGAAAGAATCCCTCACACCAGGATACTCAGGCATGGGGAACTCTCATGGGAAAGACAAATCCCCATAACATTTGGCTTTGAAAACAAGGGGCATAATGTCACAAATTCTCACAATTAGTGTGGCTTAATGCCTGGAACTTTAAAAATCACTGGGCTTGCCTCTGGGAGAGCCTGGAAAAGTAATTGGATACTTGAGCCCTTAAAGAGACAGAACAACAAACAGCCCTTTGGAGATGCGGCATAGAAGCAGCAGTGTGAAAAACATTCGGGGTATATGAGAGAGAGATTTGTGTATCAATCTCTGGGACTGAGCTGGAAGGGAGGGATCTTTAGGAGGCTTTTCCAGGAACAAAGGAGCTAGAGGGCACCGTTTCTCTTCTCCGGCCCACAGACTAGACACACAGATGCCTGTGGTAACAACACAGCATCAACATTCCATCTAGCTTGCTAGTAGGCCACCCTGCCCCAGCATTCTTCTGTAAACATATCCGGTCCTCCCACAGCCGACCCGCACAAACCTTGCTAACTGTGCCCCTGAGTTCTACAAATATCTTCCATCCAATATGCCATGTTGGGCTCTGTGCTGACAGCTCAGAGCCTGGAGCCTGTTTCAGAGTCTGTGTCTCCCTCTCTCTCTGCCCCTCTATGCTCTCTCTCTATCAAAAATAAATGAAAATTTAAAAAAAACTAAATAAAGAAGAGTTAATACTTATTCTTCTCAAACTATTCCAGAAAATATCAGAGGAAGAAAATCTTCCAAGTTTGTTCCATGAGAACCACATTATCCTGATAACCAAACCAGATAAAGACACTACAAAAAGAGAGAATGAGAGAGAACAACAGATCAGTATCTCTGATGAACAGACACAAAAATTCTCAACAAACAGACAAAATTCCTCAACAAAATGTTAGCAAACGAAATCTACCAATACATTTTAAAAAATCATTTACCACATGGTTCCCCTGGGTGGCTCAGTCAGTTAAGTGTCCGGCTCTTGATTTTGGCTCAGATCATAATCTCACAGCTCATGGGTTCAAGCCCGCATCACGCTCCATGTTGATGGTGCAGAGCCTGCTTGAGATTCTGTCTCCCCCTCTCTGTCCATCCTCTGCTTGATCTCCCTCTCTGCCTCACACACTCTCTCTCACAATAAATAAATATTTAAAAAATAACTAAATAAAATAAATTTTTAAAAAATCATTTACCATAATCAAGTTGGATTTATTCCCAAGATGAAAAAGTAGTTCAATATCCACAACTTAAGTCAGTGTGATACATTACATAAGTAAGAAAAAGTATAGGGGCACGTAGGTGGCTTAGTTGGTTGGGCGTCCAACTTCAGCCCAAGTAATGATGTCACAGCTAATGGGTTTGAGCTCTACATCAGTTCCTCTGTGCTGGTAGCACAGAGAGAGTGGAGCTTGCTTTGAATTCTGTGTCTTTTTCTTTCTCTGCCACTCTCTTTCTCTCAAAAATAACATTAAAAAACTTGTTTAAATAAGTATAAAAAATCATATGATCGTTTTAATAGATGCAGAAAAGGCATTTGTAATAAAAGCCCTCAACAGAGTAGATTTAGAGGAAACATACCTCAATAACAAAGGCCATCTATGAAAAACCCATAACATCGTCCTCAATGGGGAAAAACTAAGAGCTTTTCCCTTAAGATGCAAGTAAGACAAAAATATCCAGTATCATTGCTTTTAGTAAAAAAAAGTACTAGAAATCCTAGCCACGGTAATCAGATCATAAAAAGAAATAAAATTAGTAAAGAAGAAGTAAAACTTTTACTATCTGGCAGATGAAATGAAACTCTATATAGAAAACTAAATCCACCAAAAAGCTATTAGAACTGATAAATGAATATAGTAAGGTTGCAGGATACAAAGTCAATATACAGAACATTTCTACACACTAATAATGAAGTAGCAGAAAGGAAAACTAAGAAAACAATACACTTAAAATTAAACCAAAAATAATAGAATACCTAGGAATGAACTTAAGCAAGAAGGTGAGGGGTGCCTGGGTGGCTCAGTTGGTTAAGTGTTGGACTTCAGCTCAGATCATCATCTCGCGGTTCATGGGTTTGAGCCCCTGTCAGGCTCTGTGCTGACATCTCAGAGCCTGGAGCCTGTTTCAGATTCTGTGCCTCCCTCTCTCTCTGACCCTCCCCTACTCACACACTCTCTCTCTCTCTCTCAGAAATAAATGAAACATTAAAAAAATTTTTAAGAAAAGCAAGAAGGTGAAAGAATTATACTCTGAAAACTATAGAACATTGATAAAAGAAATTAAAGATGACACAAATAATAAGATATTATATGCTCATGGACTGGAAGAACAAATATAGTTACAATGTCCAGACTATCTAAAGCAATCTTCAGATTTAATCCAATCCCTATCAAAATACTAACAACGTTTTTCACAGGACTAGAAAAAGTAATCCTAAAATATGTATGGAATCACAAAAGACCCTGAATAGCCAAGGCAATCTTGAAGAAAACACACACACACACACACACACACACACACACACACACACAACAAAACTATAATCTCTGGAAATTTTGATCCTTAGGCCTGAGATGGTCATGTCTGGGAATGTTTTTGTGAGTAGAGCTTCTGGTGATTCTTAGGGATCAGGCAGATTTGGGAAATAGTGGTGTGGCAATTAAGCGTAAGGTTTTGCAATTAGATGGTTCTGGGTTCTAGTCATATTTCATTTAATTGCTAGCTGAGGCACATAAATCACCTCCTTAAGTCTTCAATTCCTCTAATAACAGTACTTACCTCATATAATTATTGAAAGGACTAAAATAAATAAGATATATAAAGAGTAGGGCTCATAAATATGCAGCAAACATTATCTATTATAATTATGTACTATTTAACAATAATCAGACAACTATTTGTGTATCTATGGCCAATGATGAAGATTCATTCCTTGCCCTCTGGAAATGTGCCAATTATTGGGGGGGGGGATAGAGATATATATAAGGGAAGGAAGGAAAGGGGAGGTGGGTGAGGGGGAAGTAGGCGGGGCAATGGTCAAAATGGGTGATGGGTATTTAGGAGGGCACTTATGGTGATGAGCACTTGATATAAAAGAGATGAATCTCTAAATTCTACACTTGAAACCAGTACAACATTATATATTAAGTAATTTGAATTTAAATGTAATATTGGAAGAAAAAAATTCAAGTATTACATATATATGAAATATAGTTATACTAAATATTTTATATTTTTGTGTATGGGTATATAAATAAAGAGTTGGAAAGTTCATGAACATGTTAAGTAGTTATATCTCATATATATGCACTTAAATGATTTTGCTTTTATCTCCCTATTTTTAGTATTTTCATCACTAAAATGAATGTATATTATATTAACAGCTCTTTTAAATTAATTCTATTAAAAGATGATTTTTGGCATGAATTACATCTCTATGTAACATGAGACAATTTAATAAAATATAGTGAATGAACAGTACGATTCTTCATTCAGTGAAGATACATTAATTCCCAGAAAAAAGTATTAAGTAGTCAATAAGTATTCATAGAAAGATAATCTGCATGGATGCAGATTTAAAATGTTTTTTTCTTATTTTTAAAGTTTTCATTTTTTATTCTTGAAATCGAAAATGTACACTTCAATTATGAGAAAAATATTAAACATGGATTTGAAAATAGAGTATAAAATATTAGGAATTTATTTGAGGAAAAAGGACTACCTACCTTATTATTACCACAAACGGTTCCTTCTTTTACCCACATCATTTTGCCAACTATAAAATCAGGTGGAAAGTCCAATGCAACACATATGTGTCCATTTATGTTGGCATAAATAGCAGTGGCATTTGGAATATTAATTATTTCTTCTTTTTTATATTCACATATTAATTTTCCACACTGCACATCCCTATAATTTACCAAAAATGAAATAATTCGCCTTCAATAGAAAGATATTAGAATATCATTTATAAATCAAAAAGATTTAGGTAAAGCACTGAAGCCTTACAAAAAGATTCATGCAATTAACTGTAAAACAACAAACAATATAAAAGCCTTGCTTGCATTGTTAGTAATAACTGAACATTTTAATAATTTTGAACCAGTTCCCGGTTAACCTGATTCTTTCACTGTTGTTTGATTCTTAAACAGTTCCACACTTATTCCACTTTTAAAAATTGGTAAAGTTAGTCTAAATACCAGTCTCTTTGGATTTTCTTTTTAATTTTTCGAACAGAATTCCTCCTCTCAGGATGTTGGGTCCCAAACTGACAAGACATTGAATCCCACATCCAAGAAGCATTATATATAATAAATATTAAAATAAAACTACTAAGATACATCATAATGATAGTGCTATAAACCACAGAAAAAGTGACAAAGGTAATCAGAATATTAAAAAACAAATCAAAAGAGAAATAATACAATTTAAGATGGACTTTCCAACAGAAACAATGGAAACCAGATTATTGAATGATAAATTCAAAATATGAAACAAACTATCTACTGTCTTCCTATTTTATGTGCAGAGAAAATATCTCTCAAAATGAAATATGGTATTTCAGACAATAATTGAGAACATTTATCACCAGCAGTCTTGGACTAAAGAAAATGTAGATCAAGTTCTTCACACTACAGGGAATTGATCCTAGATGGAAGCTTACAGAACTACAAAATGTAGATAGTTTTATCAGATGAGGAAGTCCCTTTTTATTCCTAGTTAGATGAGAGTATTTATCATGGATCAGTGCTAGATTTTGTGATAAATGAGACATAGAATAAAGAAAATTGTACAGAAAAATCTACATAAGGAAGCTATAAAAAAGAGAAGATATATTTAAGTCATCTACTCTGCAGACAAGCATAAAACTGAGCCAATTTGTCAAAACAACTATTTCAGCGCTATAAAACTTATCAAAACAAATAAAAATGTGAGAAGTATTTGTGGAAAGCTGCCCTAAAACCAAGAGAAGTGGAAACTGTGCTCTTCTTTACTGAGTCTCCTCCTGTGCCCTTTCTCAGATCACTTGATGCTGATATTTTACCAGAGGCAGGGTTCGTCATGAAAACTATTAAATTAAATTTCAGGAGAGTAGTTCTAGATATGGTAAAGAGGACAAAACACTTCACCCATCAATACTTTGAATAAAGGTAGCAAGTTTGGTAGGGAAAGAATGTAAAACCAGCAGCACTGTGAGTCTGAGACTGAGATCCCAGTTGGGGTTAGTGGCAGATAAGGCAAAAATTAAAGCCACAATCCTAGAAGTAATAACTCCATGAAGGGTAGTGATAAACTATCCTTATATTACATTCCTAGCTGACAGGGAAGCTACATGCATATACTGGATATGTCTGAGAAGGAATGATGGGAAGCAACACCAGTGGAAACTAAATTTGCCTTGAATCCAAACATGTTCCCTTATTACAAAGAAAACCTAAGGCCGCATGGCTCTAGTGATAAATTCTATGAAATACATGAAAAAATTTTACTAATTCTACACAAACATTTACAGAAAATGAGAAAAATAAAACTCTAACTCATTTTATGAGGCAAATATTATTCTGACATCCAAGCAAAGAGAAGGCGCCACAATAAATATACATGGACACAAAAATTCTTGACAAAATATTAGCAAACCATATCTAGAATTACATAAAATGATTAGACACCATGACTAAGTGGGATTTACCTAGCAATGCAACATCGGGTTAATATCTAAGAGCCAAGTCACAGAATAAAGAGGAAGAGAACACATAATTATTTCAAAAGGCACAGAAATAACATTTCATAAAATCCAGCACTGATTCTTGATAAACACATCTAGCTGAAGTGGGAATAGAAAGGAACTTCCTCAGATAGATAACAGCTGTATGAGTAACTGACTAGTAACATCATAGTTAAAGTTGAAAAATTAAATGCTATCACTTTTTAATCAGGAACAAGACAAACACTTCTGTTTTCACCATATTATGGTAATAGAGCACATATTTCTCAGATACTATAACAGAATCATAATCCATAAAAAACACAAATGAATAAATTGGGCTTCATCAAAATTAAAGTCTTCTGGTCTTTGAAAGATGTCATTAAGTAAAGAAAAGGGATAGATTTAGAGAAAATATTTACATTTCATAGATACGATAAATATATTCTGGATATGTAAAATATTTTTTCAATTTAATAAAAACAACAAAACACAATTTGAAAATGGGCTACAGATTTAGCAAGACAATTTACCCAAGAAGATATGAAAATGGCTAACAATCACATGGAGGACTGATCATTTCATAAATTAGTACATAAATTCAAAGTAAAACCAGAGTAATTTTACCTTTTTGGAATGGCCAAAAGAAAATAAACAACAACAAAAAAACCCTGCAAGCAAGTTGTGACAATGCCAAATGTTAGTGAAATTGTACACTGTTGATGGGAATGTAAAATTATACACTCACTCCACAAAATACTTGGAAACCTTCTTACAATATTAAACATATATGGAGAAATCATAAACTTGAATAAACTGATAAGCTGCAAAGAAATTGAATCAGTAATCAAAACTCTCCCAAAATCAAGTCCAAGAACAAATGGTTTCATAAGCAAATTCCAAAAAAAAAAAAAAAAAATTTAAAGAAGGCTTAATACCTAATCTTCTCAAACTATTCCTAATCTTCTACAACTATTCCAAAAATAGAAAATGAAGCAAAACTTCCAAATTCATTCTATGAAGTCAGGATTACCCTGATATCAAAACCAGAAAAACACACCACTAAAACAGAAAATTATAGGCCAATATCTCAGGCCAAAATTGATGCAAAAATTCTCAATAAAATACAAACTGAATCAACAACACATTTTTTAAAAATCATCATTTTCAAGTAGGACTTATTCCTGTGTTGCAAAAGTGGTTCAGTATTTCCAAATTAACCAACATGAGACACCACATTAATAAAGTATAAGAAGCATCTAATCATTTCAATAGATGCAGAAAAAGGATCTGTACAATATCTATTCATGATAAAAACCCTCAACAAAATTATATATATATATAATTTTATATATATAATATATATATAATATAAATTATTATAAATTATATATATTTGTATAAATTAAACACTCTGTGGGACAGTAAAAGGGATCATGGGATGTATGAGAAAGAGCAGTACAGATATTCTGTGTTAAAGACATAATTTGATTAAATATAGTCTAACTTCATGGTCAGGTAATATTCTGATTACTCATAAGCTTAATTATCTGTTGTATTTTCTAACTTAAGGCAATAAATACAGTTTCTCAGGTAGATTTCTTAAAGCATACTTAGGTTTACACTGTGTGTATCCTGAAGGCCCTGAACCACAGTTCCCAGATTGATCAGTCTTAGAATTAAGGTAAGCATAACACTCTTCAGGACCAAAATCTGCACCTGAAAAAGATGTGTGGTGAGTCATATTGAGCTTATATTACTTTAAAATAATTCATAAATATATTTAAAATTCTGATGTGCTTTAAAGTATATTGCACAAAATACAATCATAATGCAAATTGGAAACAAAGACTAGAGTTAAGATCACACAAAATCATTTAGATAAAATATTTAAAAATTGAAGGCACTCTTGTCAAAAAGATACCTTAAAATTAACCATGGTGTGCAGTTATCTTCTAAGTTTTAGTAAGTCTAGATATCTATAAGTGTATACAAAACTTTAAAAGTTGACTTATTGGTCAATAATCTAATTTATATAAATGTCTTTTCAAGTCAAACCACTAAACTAATATCTTATTGTTTTATATTTTCCTTAGACCAAAAAATCATGGAGTCCTAGTTTTTACACTCAGTCTCCAATCCATGCACATAATGTGTTCAGTTCTCATAAAATCCAACCAACGGATATTATTTATTATAACATCCATTAGTTCTACCATAGTTGGAGGAGTAAGCTGAAAATTTTTGATAGGAAGATTTAACCACTGCATTATGGTGCTGAAGAAAAATGGCGCACCGTAAGAGGATCCACAGGGACATATCCAGATCTTAGCTGAAACTCCCACAGGCTCTAGTAAACTGGAAATAAGGAGTTTATTTTATACCAGAAGTCATTTTAAAACCTGGTTATTGGTGAGAAGTCAAAATTATTTGCTTAGCTAGGAAAGCAGGTCATTTGGTGGACATAAAAAATAGGCCAAAGTTAAAGTTACAGTGACAAAATTAGGGACTCAAGGGGTAACATATAGTTTATTCCCCACCTCAAGAATTTTTCCTGCTTCTAAAAGTGTGAAGAGCAGGGGATTAAAATATAAGGAGATGACTTCCATAAAGCAGTGTGGGTTTTTTTGTTTTTTGTTTTTTTGTTTATGTTTTTGGTTTTGGTTTTTTTTTGCAGTTTCTGTGTTGCGGGTACGTAGTTGCCAAAGGAGTCTCAGTAAATATCACTCTCAACTGAAAACCCTGGAGAGTTATGGCCATAGAAACAACAGTGAACTAGAGAGACTGAACTTTATTTATTTAAACTCTGACCAAAGCTTAATACATATCACTTTCTCACTTCTTTAAAGTGGTTAGTTCCTCATTTCATACACTTAACAGAAAAAAAGATGGATAATAGTAGTATCTATTAAAAAAAAAAACATTTTAGACTGAAAGCAGAGCTTCAAAAGGTAGAAATTGAAGACAACAAAAGAAATTTAACTAGAAATGTGTCATTATCATTCAAGAAAAAACAAAGATATCTACCTATATTAAAACAGTTGATGAAGAGAACATGATACATTATATAAATTGCAAAGATATAAATATGCAAGAAGAAAAAGTATAAAAAATAAATTGAAGGGGCGCCTTGGGTGGCTCAGTCTGTTAAACATCCGACTTCGGCTCAGGTCATGATCTCACGGTTCATGGGTTCGAGCCCCGCGTTGGGCTCTGTGCTGACTGCTAGCTCAGAGCCTGGAGCCTGTTTCAGATTCTGTGTCTCCCTCTCCCTCTGACCCTCCTCTATTCACGCCGTCTCTCTCTCTCTCTTTCTCTCTCTCAGAAATAAATAAAAAATAAATAAATTATAAAAAAACAAAAAAAATTGAAATAATTATGGAGATATTATTAAATATAATTTGAAATTTTAAGAAAATCCATATAATAATACAGTATTTACATCAAGTATTCCAAGAAACTCACAGAACACTAAGAAGAATTAAACACACACACATACACAAATGCATCCAAATGTATGGCATGAAGACTGCTAAACAAAGAAAATCATGATGGCTTAAAGAGAAAAGAAATAATCTGACAGATTTTCTTTAGAAAATACGGAAACAGTATGACAGTAAAGTAACACCTTTAAAATGCTAATAGGGATAGAGTTTCCATTTCAGGATGGCAACATAAAAAGATTCTGAAGTCAGCTCCTCCCAAAAGCACACCAAATCTGCAGCTACATCTCAAAAACTAAAAACTAAGCAACCCTTATACATTGGGCAAAGGAGGAAAAACTCTCAGAGAACAGGGTAGGAAAGGCAGAGACAGACACCATACCAGGCGTGGCACTCCACAATCATGAAGGAATAAATACAAAACCCAGAACAATAACACAGAGAGTTGGAGTGGCTACATGAACATTGCAAAAAAAAAAAAAAAAAAAATGCAATATAAGAAAAAGTAATTGTTACTAAAGACAACCAAAGAATTTTTACGATTGTCAACCCATGAAGAAAATATTACATATCCCCTAAGAATAAAGCACCAAAATCTATTAAATAAAAACTGGCAGAACTGAAGGAAAAAGTAGGTAAAAATAATAGCTGATTTTATGTCACTTCTCAATAATGGAGAGAATATAAGATCAGTAAGGAAATACAAAATTAGAACAACTCTACAAATGAACTATTCCTAACATATCTACAGAACACCCATTGCAACAAAAGCAGGATACATACTCTTCTCTATGCATTTGGAAATTCTCCAAAATGGTCATAGTCATGGCCAAGACAGTCTAAACAAATCAGGAAGGAATGAAATCATATGAATTATGTTCTCTGAATAGTGAATTATATTTTCTGAATACAATGTAATTAAAATAAAAATCGATAATAAAAGTACACTAGGGGATGTACCAACATGGGAATTAAAAACCACACTCCTAAATAACCAAAGCATAAAAAAAAACAAATCTCATGGGAAATTAGAAACTACTTTAAGATGAATAGGAATAAAAACATGAATATGAAAATTTATGAAAAACATTGAAATCACTATTTAGACATGGATATCTGTAAATGATTAAAATAGGAAAGAAATATTTCAAATTAATAACCTAGAATTTTACTTTAAGATACAGAAAACAGTATTCTAAACATAAAAAGAACAGAAGAAATAATAGGAATTATAGCAGAAAAAGATAAAATAAAAAATAGACAAATGACAGAGAAAATCAACAAAACCAAAACTTGGTTCTTTGAAAAGATCAACAAAACTGGCAGATTTGAATTATTAATTAGGAAATTTCCCACAATGAAAAGGCTGAGAGCAGATGATTTCACTGGTAAATTCTGCAATATTTTCAGACAATTAATATAATACATTGCGAATTGTTCCCAAAAATATAAGGAATGCTTTTGTACCATTCAATGTGGCTTGATTATGAAAACACAAGACAGTTCAAAAAAGAAAAAAAAAAATAGAACAAAATCCCTCACAAATATAGACATAAAAATTTCACAAAATCCACAGAATTAAGAAGTAAAACAAATGAACATGAAGAAAATAAAAGATAAAGGAAAGCCAAGAACAACTCAAATGTAGAGAATAAACTGATGGTTACCTGAGGGGAGGTAGGTAGGGGATGATTTAGGTGATGGGGTTTAAGGAGCGCAGTTGTGATGAGCACTGGCTGTTGTATGGAAGTGTTGAGTCACCATATTGTACACCTGAAACTAATATTACACTGTATATTAACTAACTGGACTTTAAACACAGACTTTAAAAAAATCTACAGTGATGAACAGTGATTTTAAAAAAACTCAACAAAATGCCAGTAAACTAAAACCTACAGCATATTAAAAGCATTATTAGCATAACAATTAGCAAACCCTATTACCAAGTAAGATTTGTTCCTGGAATAAAAGGATGATGTTACATTAAAAAAAAATAGCAGAATAAAGGGGGAAAACATGATTGTGTCAATTAATGCACAAGAAGCAAAACTCAATGCATTTTAATGTAAAACAACTAACTAGAAGGAAAGTCCTTCAATGTAGTAGAGGTCATCTTTAAAAAAACACAGCTAATATAGTATTCGGTAGTGAAAAGTTGAAAATTTTTCTTCTAATGACAAGGAGCAACACAAGGGTGCCAGATTTTAGTACAAGTCGTGATCTAAAGCAAAAGGCAAGTAATTTCTTGATAATAGGAACTTAAATTGGAACAGAAAAAGTAAAATTATCTCTGTTCATAGTTGCCATGATTTTATACATATAGAAAATCCTAAGGTTTTTACACACACACACACACACAAACACACACCCACACACATTCACACAACTAATAAATAAATTCAGCAAAGATACAAAAATCAATGCATCAATTGCATTTCTATAATTAGCAGTGAAAATCCCCAGAAGGAAGTTAGGTAAACAATTTTATCAATGTATCAAAAAAATACTTACAAGTAAAATTAACCAAAGTGAAGTAAAATTTGTATAATGATAACCACCATATGTTGCTGAAGAAAATTAAAGAAAACACAAAAAATGGAAAGCTATCCCATGTATATGGCTTGGAGGACAAAATATTAAGATGGCAATATAATCCAAAGTGATCTACAAGCTTCAATGCAAACCTTATCAAAACACCAACAATGTATCAGCAGAAATAGAGAAACCCATCTTAAAACTCATATGGGATCTCAAGGGCCTGAAATAGCCTAAATAATTTTAAAAACGGAGAACAAGCTTGGAGATCTCTCTCATACTTCCTGATTTCAAAACTTACCACAAAAGTTACAGCATTCAAGACCACGTATACAGGCATACTAACATACAGATATATATACACCAACAGACTAAAATAGAGACCCTAGAAGTAAATCCTTCCATATATGTCTAATATTTTTGGATAAGGGTGTCAAAACCATTCAATGGGAAAGGACAGTCTTTTCAACAATTGGTATAAAGAAAACTGGATATACACATGCAAAAGAATGAGGTTGACCTTTACCTCACAGGATATTCTAGAATTAACATGAAATGGATTAGATACATAAATGTCAGAGCTACAACTATAAAACTTTTTTTTAGAAATGATGGAGATTAAGGGTTGCACTTGTTTCAATGAGTACCAGGTGTTGAATGTGAGTGTTGAATCACTAAATTGTACACCTGAAACTAACATTATACTGTATGTTAACAACTGGAATTTAAATAAACACTCTAATATTTTTCATTTGTGTATAGTTGATACACAACATTACTTTTAGGTATACAACATAGTGTTTCAACTTCTCTATACACTATGCTAAAAACTATAAAACTCTTAGAAGAAAATAGAGAGGAAATGTTTTTTGGCATTGGATTTGGCAATTATTTCTCGGATATAATGCCAAAAGCATTGGCAACAAAGGAAAATATAGATAAAATGGTAAAAAAAAAATAATTCCACATGAAAACCAACAGTGAAGTGAACTTCAGTTAATGGGTATGGAGTTTCAGTTTGGAAAATTGGAAAACGTTCTGGGGATGGATGATGGTGATGCTTGCAAAGTAATGTGAATTGTAAAATGACACTGAATTGTAAATATGGTAAAAATGGTAAGTTTTAGGTCATGTATATTTTTTCACAGTTAAAAATAAGTAAAAAAATCTCAAGCATATATCAATAATCCATAACTATCAATATAAGAATGATAAAATAACATGACCAAGTGGTATCTTTTCCAGAAATGCAAGGCTGGACATTAGTATAATGCACCATATTGATAAACTAAAAGACAAAAAAAAAAAAAAAAGAAAACAAAGAAAAAGATCACTTAATAGACACAGAAAAAGTAATGGAAAACCTATCATTTTACACTTGATTAAAACAAAAACCTTAACAAACTGTGTAACTGAAATGGATCTTCCTTAACCTATAAAGAGGATTATGAAAAACCATAGTTAGCATCATCTATATTAAAAACTCAATATTCAACTCCTGAGATAAGGAACAAGTCATAATATATGCCCTGAGTTTTTCTACTCAATATTGTATTGGAAATACTATTCAGGAAAAATAGCCAAGAAGAAAAAATAAAAGGCATATAGACTGTAAATATTTTCCTAAGACATTTACTGATATATAGAAATCTTAGGAATCTACCAAAAATAATTATTGGAACAAATAAATAATTTTAGCAATGTTGAAGGATAAAGATTCAATATTCAAAATCAATTTGTATCTCTACATTAGTAATGAAATATTAAAATTTTAAAAAATCCTATTCATAATAGCATCAAAAAGAATAAAATATCAAGAAATATATTTAACAAAAGAATTATAGGGCTTGTATACTAATAATTACAAAACTATAAAACACTGAAAGTAAGATACAACTAATTGGAAAGACATCTCATGTTTATGGATTGGAAGCTTTAACATAGTTAATGTACCAATACATCTCAAATTGATGTACAAATTCAAAATGATTACTATCAAAAGTCTAGCTGACTTTTTTGCAGAAATTGTCAAGTTGATTCTGAAATTCAAGAACTGCAAGAGACCTAGGACTTCCAAAATAATCTTTTTTAAAAGAGGGAAAAAGTTGGATTGCTCACATTTCCTGATTTGTAAACTACAAAGCTACAGGAATCAAGACAGTGTGCTACTGACATAAGAATATTGATGTATAGATCAATGGAGTAGAATTTACAGTCAAGACTTAAATCTTTTTACAGTCCAGTGATTTTTAGCAAAGATGCCAAGCCACTTAAATGGGGGAATAATCATCTTTTCAACAGTGATGCTAAGATGACTGGGTATCCACATGCTAAAAGAATTAAGTTGGATCATATTTCACACCATATGCAAAATTAACTCAAATTGGATTATTGACTCAAATTTAAGAGGGAAAGGTATAAAACTCCCAGAAAAAAAAAAATCAAGACCTTGAATTAAGCAATGCTTTATTAGATATAACACCAAAATCACAAACACATACCAAAAAAATATATAAATTGAAACTCATCAAAATTAAAACTTTGCATTTCAGAGGAGGCAGTCAGAAAAGTGATGACATAATCCAGACAACAAAAGAAAAGATTTGCAAAACACAAGCTTAACAATTAAAAAATAGATGAATGATACAGATATCTCTCCAAACAAAACATACAAATCGTCAATAAGCACATTGAAAAGATGTTCATCATTAGTCTTTAGGTAAATGCAAATCAAAATTACAAAATACCACTTCATAGTCACTAGACCATCCACAGAATAACTCAATATGACATGGATATCAATTCATAATAGATGATAGATAGGTAGGTAGACAGATAGATGATGATAGATAGATAGATAGATAGATAGATGATAGATAGATAGATAGATAGATAGATAGATAGATAGATAGATAGATAGATGATAGATAGATGAGATAGATAGATGGAGATAAAGATAGAGGTATCTTTTTTCAAAATATCCTTAGTTGTTCAAATCACCCAGTTCCTTGGGAGAGCACTTTACCATTCTACAAGTTTCTTTCCTTATATCTTTGTTTTGCCTTTCTTCAAACCTATAGTCATTCTGTGCCATTGTATGATCCTTTAGGGCATTGATCATTACTTTGCAACTCCTTTTTACAGAGAAATTAAAGTAGGCAATTACTCATTACAGTTGAGAAAAGGTTGAGCCACTTGGGCTATTTATATGAATAACCTAAATATTTCCTCTGTCAGTCACTCTTACTTCTTCTCATATAGACAAGAAATGCTGCTGCCATTGCAGCTGTCTCCATCTTCTTCAGCAAAAGATCCCATGTATATTTTGTGCCATGATTTTCCTTTTTGTTTTCAACCTCAGTGCACATCATCTTTCAATGAATTTATAATTACTGGATCTGCATTACTCCTTTTTGGGATTATCATAATCCCTGTAGTTCCCAGGTATGAATGTGTGTATCTGGCTGTGATTTAAATTGTATACATATACCAATTTATATTTATGATCTTCTAATGTCCATAGTCATATGTATTTATTTTATTTTTACTAACAAAACTGTGGATATGGAGGGATAGAGGGAAGTGTAACTTATATTCAGTCTGTTTTTTTTTTCTTCTCAAATGAAGAGCCCATAGACTGAATCTTTCCCTCTATTATTTTGTGTAAGTAATTCATAACTTTAATTCCAGATAACTTGTCTGATATTTTTGTACAGTATTTCTTATCTTTTTCTATAATCCTTTAAGATATATATATGCTAAAAATCACATTATTTTTAAAATCCCAATTCTGTATCAACATCTATTTCTTTTTGGTTTCCAGAAAAACACATATATGAGAAATAAAATTATAATAAATACCTTCACCAAATAAATCCATACACTGTTTTAACCCACTTATACAACTTCCATTCAGACAAAGCCATTGATTCTCTCCACATGGATGCCCATTCTGAACAAAAAAGTTATCTTGACATGTTGCAGATGATCCATTACAATATTCAGGGAGATCACATTCATCAGAGGGAGGCCTACATATTTCTCCTTTTGCCGAATACTGATGGAATGAAATAAATCATACTGAATAAAGCAGAATGTGAAAACATAAATAGCATAACAAAGATGACTTTGTTCATGTAAGTAATACAGGAAAATCTTAAAGGCTCTTACTTGACAATTTTCACAACATTCACCAGTATCACAAGTTGAACCAACTTTTAGTGTGCATGTGGCATGATCACAACATGTGTTTGGGTTAGCAGCACAGTCCTGAAAGGCAAATCAAATGCTCTGAAGTACCTTCCAACTCTAACTCACACTAGACAGATATTTTAACGTTGACAACATTATATAATATACAGATAGATGCTTAAATTACATGCTGGCAAACATAAAAAACATAGCCACTTACTTAACAGATGCTTATTGGCTACTACTCTGCTATGCTGTGTACTCTTTATATCCCCAGAAGAGGTTTGACTATATTGGCTGTAGGATTTTCCTGAAACTCTGAGTCCACCAAAGCCCAAACATCAAGCTCTCTGGCTCTTGCAGACAAAGGGATAGTTAAATATAAAACATAAAATAAATAGAAGCTCTGATTTATCAATTTCATTATAATGACAAATTCCTAATCAACCTAGGAACCTATTGCGTTTTAACAAGTCTGTAACTTTTATGGGATGTTCAAAGTTTAATTTACTTTTATTTTCTAAAGGCAAAGGGTTAGAAAATGATATTTTTAAATATGACTGAAATTATCATCCATATCTTATTATGCCTTGATTAATGTTATAATTCATTCACGTGATTTTGTTTATAAAAATTCTATTATTATACTGAATAAAGGCAACAGATAAGAATAGAGAAGGTTGGAGAGATAATGCTTACATACACACACATACACACACACACACACACACACTTTTTAAATTATCAGGGATTTGGAATAGGGTTAATTGGACAAAAATTTCAATAAGTTATATAAAAGTAAGTCATGGATTTCAGTAGGCTTAATATGAGTCATAGAATACTACTTATTAAGGTAAACCAAATTTGAAGTATTTTCCAGAACTAATCTGCATAATCAATGTTATTGTTATTGTTACCCATATGGGATTCCAGAGAGTAAAGTTATCACAGAGGCTGGCTCAATTATATTATAATTAATAGAACTAAGATACACTATTTTCAATTTTTACTAGAAATTTTCAAAGTGTTTCCATTTAGACCCAGATAAGAAAAACAAGTGGGTACTGTAAAATTATTTCTTTAAAGCACACCACCCAACTAGTTATCTGAAAACTCACTTTCATATTGAGGAGGGTACACAGTAGTAACTTTAACTATTTCTGTAGGGAACACTGAACTCCTTTCATGTATTGATTTTTTCACATCCATACGCCTGTTATGAGTCTCACAATCTCTCTCTTCCTTAGTGTGTTCCTTTTATCTCTAGTCCTCCAATTAGTCAGCTTTATCTAAGATTTTTGTGGATTGGAAACATGCATTTGTTGATTGTGAATAATCCAAACATTTTTTTACTTAAATATTGACCTGCATTAAAATATTCAAAGCCACAAGTGTGACTCATTTTCTTGTTGAATTGTGAAAACTTTATATCCGTTTTTCTGAATGCCAGCAGATCTTAGGCTCGGAAGAAATATGGGCATTACCTTATTTTATTGTGCTTCAGTTCATTGTACTTTTCAGATACTACACTTTTCTTTTCTTTTTTTTTTTTTTACAAATTGAAGGTGGCAACTCTAAATTGAGCAAGTCTACCAGCATCATTTTTCCAACAGCCTGTATGTCAAATTTTGGTAATTCTTTCATTATTATTATATTTGTAATGGTGATCTGTTTTCAGTGATATTTGATGTTACTATTTTTTTTTAATTTTTTTAATGTTTTATTTATTTCTATGAGAGAGAGAGACAGAGTGAGCAGGGGAGGGTCAGAGAGAGAGGGAGTCACAGACTCTGAAACAGGCTCCAGGCTCTGAGCTGGCAGTCAGCACAGAGCCCGACGCGGGGCTCGAACCCACGAACCGTGAGATCATGACCTAAGCGAAAGTCGGACGCTTAACCGACTAAGCTACCCAGGTGCCCCAATATTTGATGTTACTATTGTGATTTTATAGAATGTCATGAGCCATTGTCTATATAAGACAATAAACTTAACTGAGTATGTTCGGATTGCTCTACTGATGAACTGCTCCCCTCTCTCCTTCTTTTCAGGCTCTCTATTCCCTGGAACACAGCAACATTGAAATTTGACCAATTAATAATCCTATAATGATCTCTAAGTGTTCAAGTGAAAGGAAGAGTCAAATGTTTCTCACTTTAAATCAAAAGCTAGAAAGGATTAAGCTTAGTGAGGAAGGCATGTTTAAAGTTAAGAGAGGCCAAGTGGTAGGCCTCTTACAACAAAAAGTTAGTGAAGTAGTGAATGGAAAAGAAAAGTTCTTGAAGGAAATTAAAATGGCTGAATGCATGAATGATAAGAAAGCAAAATGGTATTATTACTAATATGGAGAAGTAGTCTGGATAGAAGATCAAACCAACCATAGCATTCTCTTAAGCCAAAGCCTCATCCACCGCAAGGCCCTAATTCTCTTCAATTTTATCAAGGCTGAGAGAGATAAGGAAGTTGCAGAAGAGTCTGAAGCTAGCAGAGATTGCTTCATGAGGTTTAAAGGAAGAATCTGTATCCATCACATAAAACTGCAAAGTTAAATAGCAAGTGTTGATGTAGAAGCTGTAGCAAGTTATCTAGATGTAGCTAAGATAATTAATGAAAGTGGCCATGCTAAGCAACAATGTAGATAAAACAACATTGCACTGAAAGATGTCATTTTCATAAGTAGGAGGAAAAGGTAATGTCTGGCTTCAGAGCCTCAAAGGACAGGCTGACTTGTTGGGGGCTAATTCAGATATGACATTTGGTTGAAGGCAATTCTCATTTACATTTCAAAAATTCTAGGGCTCTTAAAAATTATGCTAAATCTACTCTGCCTGTGCCCCATAAACGGGACAACAAAGTCTGGATGACAGCACATCTGTTTACAACATGGTTTAAGACCACTGTTGAGGAACACAGCTCAGAATAAAAGAATCCTTTTAAAATATTGCCATTCATGAACAAAGCACCTGGTGATCCAAGAGTGTGAATAAAGAGGTACAATGAGATTAATGTTGTTTCTATGATTATTAATACAACATCCATTCTCTTGCCCATTGATCGAAGAGTAACTTCAACTTACATCTCATAAGGTTATAATTGCAATGGATAGTGATTTCTCTAATGGACCTGACCAAAGTAAGTTAAAAACTTTCTGGGAGGGACTCACCATACTAGGTGCCATAAAAAGCATTCATGATTTATTGGAAATGGTCAAAATACCAACATTAACAGGAGTTTAGAACAAGTTGATTCCAATCTTTGTGAATAACTTTGAGGGTGTCAAGGCTTCAGTAATTATAGATGTGATGGAAATAAAAGGAAAACTAGAATTGGCAATGAAGCCTGAAGATATTACTGAATCACTGAAATCTCATGATAAAACTTCAACAGATGAAGAGTTCCCTCTAATGGCTAAGCAAAGAAAATGAGTTCTTCAGATGGAATTTACTCCCACTGAAGATGCTGTGAATATTATTAAAATGACGATCGAAGATTTAGAATATTATATAAATTTAGTTGATGAAACAGCAGCAGAGTTTGAGATGATTGACCCCAATTTGAGAGTTCTACTGTGAGTAAAATGCGCTCAAACACGACCACATGCTTACAGAGAAACTATTCATAAAAGAGCCAGGTAATGCAGGGAACTTCATTGTTATCTTATTTAAACTTTTTTTTTTATATTTCTGAAAGAGAGAGAGAGAGAGACAGCATGAGAAGGGGGGGGTCAGAGAGACAGGGAGACACAGAATCTGAAACAGGCTCTAGGCTCTGAGCTGTCAGCACAAAGCCCGACATGGGGCTTGAACCGTGAGATCATGACCTAAGCCGAAGTTGGCCACTCAACTGGCTGAGCCACCCAGGCGCCTCTAGTTATCTTATTTTAGAAACTGCCACAGACACTTCAACCTTCAACAACCACCACCTTGATCAGTCAGCAGCCATCAGCATTAAGACAAGATTATGACTTGCTGAAAGCATCTTTTAATAATAAAGTATTTTTAAATAAGATGTGTACCTTTTAGATATAATTCTATTTCACACTTAATAGACTAAAGGATAATATAAGCATTAATTATATGTACTGGGAATCAAAAAGAATAATTTTATTTACTTTTTTGTGATATTCTCTTTATTCTGGTTTTCTGGAACAAAACCCACAATATCTCTGAGGTATTCCTGTACCAGGGAAGAACACACGCAATAGGGAAAGTGAAACCCTGGGTTAACTCAGTTACAGAATTAATGACCTTGAAAATCATCTGTATGGATAATCTATGAACCACTGAATCCGTATACTGACTTATAAGTGCACTTGTCAGTTTATTATAATTTCTATATGTATTTTTATCTTTTCTGCAGAAAAGTGATTTTGATGCCCTAGGGGAAATGGCAATATAAAAATTTATTTATAATTTTTCACATATATCTTCCAAATCAGTACTAACCTCTGCACTCCCACAGTCACATTGTTCTCCTTGCTCCACTTGTCCATTACCACAAACCACAGATTTGTATGATGGATCTAAGTGTGGCTGATTTTGAAGACATTGGGACTTTGGCTTTGAAATAAAATTTTCAAAATCCTCCATGCTGCAGTTACTAAAGATCTTCACACCACTGGAATGACTAAACATACATCAAACTTCAAATTTTTATGTAAGTATTGCTTCATAAATTGCTTAGACTTGGAATAAAGCTATTTACTAGCATTCCCCAACAGACAAAATGCTCAATTTTGTTAGGGTCAAAATTTTATTTTCTGTACAAGGGAAGTCAATTGTGCAAGAATTTATATTAAATATTTAGTTGGCAATAAATCCTAGAACTTTATTGGTTCTTATATTACACTCACTCATGGCATTGTTTTCTCTTATATTTCCTACCTCACAAAGTATTGTTTCATTTTCATGACTCCTAAATATTATAATATCCTGTATTAACAAAAGAGACTGAGCTTTTCACTTCTTTATCTATATTTATTCATAGATAACCCTAAAGTACTGTACTTGGCAGCTCAGATAGTTGCTACTATTGCCCCAATATATCACCTAAACTCAAAAATCCAGTACCAATTATTTACTCAGAGATGACATTTCTTTTTTTTTTTTTTAATTTTTTTTAATGTTTTATTTATTTATAGGAGAGAGAGAGAGACAGTGTGAGCAGGGGAGGGTCAGAGAGAGAGGGAGTCACAGACTGAAACAGGCTCCAGGCTCTGAGCTGGCAGTCAGCACAGAGCCCGACGCGGGGCTCAAACCCACGAACCGCGAGATCATGACCTAAGCAAAAGTCGGATGCTTAACCGACTAAGCCACCCAGGCGCCCCCAGAGATGACATTTCTAAGCACACATCTAAAATACCATCCCCTTACATCTTTATTCTTTTAGTTACATTTATTATTCTTTAAAATGTTTATCAACAACCAAAATATTATTTATTTAATTATTTACTTATTATTTTCCCCTGCTAGTTTTTTAGCTCTGGGAGAACAGGCATTCCAACTATTTTGTTTTCTAGCACAGAGTGAAGACTCAATATCTATATATATGTATTTTAAATAAATGAGCCAATTGGAATAAACTATCTGTTGTAAATAGTACAATCTTTTGTTGATATTGCATTATTACTTTTATTATTCTGAATAGTATTAATACATGAAAAAGTTATATTCATAAAGATTTATAATTTGATGCCAGATATAGCTAATATGAAGTTATTGGATTTTACAGCAATAAACTCAAACCCTAGCCCTTTGGATTATCACAGGGAAATGGAGATGTTATTTATATGAGGATCATGAACAAATGAGAGATTTAAAATTTTTTGGGGGGGAGGTCACATCCCGATTGAACATACTCTACCATTATAATAACCACAAATAACTGATTTATTATTACATTGTCAACAATTCAGATGATTTTTATCTAAACACCAAAAACCAAAAGGAGAAGTGATATAATATTATTTTACTAAAAACTAGGCAACGTAAGATGTGTTTACTATTTTTGAACTCAACTCATTTATAAGGGATACACTTTCTGATATAAATTAATGTTGTCATTAGAAAGAAAATATCAATCATAATTATAAGCAACTACTATTTGTAGCTTGAATCTTAGCAAACACTTGCTAAATGTTCTCAATCTCCATTCTCTCATTTTTCCTTGATAATAGAGCTTTTGATTTTCAGTTGAATACAGGTCTTTCTTATATAGTGTCTACATTTATTAGCCTTTGTAAAGTTAGGATTATATCTATATAAAGGTCAGAGAATTGGCCTAAAACAAAACCATAATTTAAATTATAGAAAGTAATGTTGACAGCCATGTTTTTATTCTATTGGTGACTATAATTTTGGTTAACTATTGTAGTTTAAGCTTCCATCATAAGCGATGAGATGATACAGGATATGAAAACCACTGTGTAGAAATTAATGTAAAATTATGTTGTGAAATGCTATGCAATTAATAGAATTCTAATTTCCCAAAATAAAATGAACTTCTCTTAGATTTAAGCTGCTATTACTTTGGGGTTTCTGAACTTACATTCAAATCTAAAAACAAATTCCACCCCAATAAATACAGATCTCAATCAGGCTATTGTTGTTTTAATCACATTTCAAACATTAATTTTGTCACCACAATATTGCAAAGCATTGACAGCAGGATGCAATGTTCTCATTACAATGAGGTGGAGAATACTAGAATAGATCATGTGATTAATCCACAAACAAAACATATGTTCAATATTTGACTTTTTTAGAAGAGGAAACACTCATTAGTAATAAGATTAATAAAATCTGTCTTCAAATATAACATTGAAGAAATTATTAAAGGCATTTCAATTAGTAACTAAAAACAGAAATACAACAGTTCAACACATTCTCTTACTGTGAAGTTTGTACAGCATAATCAAGCAAAAATGAAAAACAAAAGATAAAAATAATTACTATCATTAAATAAGTCTCAGTAAGTTTCAAAATACGTACATCTAAAAACAATAAATATTAAATCAGAAGTCAATAACAAAAAGCCATGTAGATGATCCAAAAATATTTGAAAATCCTGACATACTTCTAAAACAACCTGGTAGACAAAAGGAATTACAAAGAAAATGAAAATATTTTAACTAAATGAAAAAGAAACACAAAATATCAATATGTATGATCTGCAATAAAAACTGTGGTTAGAGTGAAATGTACAGCTTTAAAGGGCTTACACAAAAAGAAAGCTTTAAAATAAAATATTTGAGTTTTCACATTAAAAATCTAGGGGAGGGATGCCTGGATGGCTCTGTCAGTTTATCATCTGACTGTTGATTTCAGTTCAGGTCATGATCTCAGTCGTGAGACAAAGCCTCACATTGCTGTGATCGCAAAACCTGTGAATTCTCTCTCTGCACCCCTCCCTTGCTCACTCTCTCTGTCTCTGTCTCTCTCTCTCAGTCTCTCTCAAAATAAATAAAAATAAATAGAAAATTTTAGAGGGAAAAACTAGTTTACTCTAGAGTAGGCATAAAATTAAGAAAATAAATTGGATAAGTGATGGGACTCAATAAAATTAAAAAACAGCAATAAAAAAACGGAGATTGGAGGGAAAAAGAGAAAACACAGATTATATGAGACATAAAAGAAGTAATATCACTAGAGATCCCAGTGACTTAAAAAAAAATAAGTGGAATTTAGGCTTGTGAAGATGGCAAAGTAGGCATACCCTAATCTCACCCCATCCCATGTTTACAACTAGATATCACTCACATCCAATGAATATACCAGAGAGCAATCCAAAGACAGGCAGAAGAAACCTCACAACTAAATGTAGAGAATAAGTCACATCAGAGACGTTAGGATGGGCATATATGGTGGTTGGGAGCTGCCCACAGGAAAGAGGCTCTGAGAAGAGAAATCACCAAGGGATCCACATGGAGGAAAATGGATCCCCATAATGTCTGCTTTGAAAACCAGAGAGACTGACTTCCATGAGTTCCAGCAGAAGTTGGAGCCTGGAGCTTTAAAAGTCAGCTGACCCAACACTGGGTGAGCCAGAAGGGTGAGTGATAGATGGGTCCTTGCTCTTAAGGAGACAGCAGCCCTTAGAAAGGCAACATAGAAGTGACAGTTTGCACAACAGCGGGGGCAAATGAGAGAAACAAACTTGACAATAAACTATGAAAGAAAACAAACAAACAAAAACCAGAGCATTTCCATTGGAAGAAAAAAAGTGAGGGGATAGTAAAACAACAGGTATTAATGAGGATGCAGAGAAAGGGGAACTCTCTTCTACTCTTTGTGGGAATGCAAACTGGTGCAGCCACTCTGAAAAACATTATGGAGGTCTTCAAAAAGTTAAAAATAGAACTAGCCTATGATCCATCAACAGTGCTACTAGGTATTTACCCAAAGAATAGAAAACTACTAATTTGAAGGTACATATGCACCTTGATATTTATAGCAGCATTATCTATAATAACCAAACTATGAAAACAACCCAAGTGTCCATGACTGATGAATGGATAAAGAAGATGTGATACACACACACACACACACACACTGTAATATTAATCAGCCATTAAAAAGAATGAAATCTTGCTATTTGTAATACAATAGATAGAACTAGAGAGTATAACGCTAAGCCAAATAAGTCAGTCAGAGAAATATAAATACTAAAAGATTTCATTCATATATGGAATTTAAGAAACAGAACAGAGGAAAAAAAATTTTTAAAAAGGAAGGAAACCAAGAAACAGACTCTTAACTATAGAGAACTAATGGTTACCAGAGAAGAGGTGGGTGGAAAGATGGGTTATATGGTTGATAATTAAGGAGTGCACTTATGATGAGCACCAGATGTAAGTGCTGAATCATGAAATTGTACACCTGACAGAAGAAAAAAATTAATTTAAGTAATTTAAGTGAGGGAAGGGAGAAATATTTATCATGCAAATGAATGTTAAAAGAGAGCTGGATTATAAGACAAAATATGGTTTAAAACAAACTCTGTAAAAATACACAAATAATGGGGCGCCTGGGTGGCTTAGTCGGTTAAGCGTCCGACTTTCTCTTAGGTCATGATCTCTCTGTTTGTGGGTTCGAGCCCCTTTTCGGGCTCTGTGCTGACTGCCAGCTCAGAGTCTGGAGCCTGTTTCAGTCTGTGACTCCCTCTCTCTCTGACCCTCCCCTGCTCATGCTGTCTCTCTCTCTCTCTCCTAGAAATTAAACATTAAAAATTAAAAATACACAAATAAGGACACTATGTAATAATAAAGGAGACAATCCAATGAAAAGATAAAACATTGTAAGTTTTATGAACCCAACATGGAAATATCCAAAAACAAAAATCAATTAATAGCTAACACAAAGGAAATAATCAACAGTAATATAATAATATTAGGGGACTTTAACACCCCACTTACATTGATGAGTAGATAATCCAAACAGAAAATCAACAAGAGAACAGTGGCTTTGGATGACACAGTAAAGCAGATAAGTTTAACACATAGTCAGAACATTCTATTCTAAAACAGAAGAATACATTCTTTTCAAGTGCACATGGAACATTCTCCAGAATAGATTACATTGGGGCACAAAACATGTCTCAACAAATTTAAAAAGATTAAGGTCATACCG